GAACCCCACTTGCAAAATAACAATTCACCCCCACACTGGCAATGTGCACTCATATCTTCCGAAAGGGAGGGTAGCAAACTGCAGCTCGTGGCCAGATCCGCCCTGGGGCCTGTCTTTGCATAGCCGGTGAGCTGAGGTTGGTGTACTATTTCCAATATCAAAAAAGACAAACAAGAATGTGTGACAGATCATATGTGGCCTGAAAAACCTAAAATATGCACTCTCGGGACCTTTAAAAAAAGTTTGCCGGTCCCATTCCTGTTTCACTCAAATGCCGACTGACTGCACTTATGAAATATATTTTCCCGATCTGCTGATGGTTTGTGAACCTCAGTTTGAACAACTTTGAGGCCAGAAGAACCTCAGTTGTTTCACTAGATGGAAAGATGGGTCAATCAACAGCAGGCTGACACACGGACAAGAAGAGGTGCGGAGTACAATGAGGTCCTCTTATCCGTGGACCCATGAGTCAAATGTCTGTGAGCCAGAGTCCTCCGCTGGCCTCGGCCCCCACCGACCCGCTTCCCAGGCTGTGCTGAGCACCAGCACGGGTCCTGCCTGGCCGTTCTTCCTGACACAGGTTCCTGCGTCGTGGGGAGACGTGGGGCCCCCAGACAGCAGGGGTGTTGGAGCACATCCGTGCTGTCCCTGTCAACCACTGGTCCAGAGCCCAGGCCAGAGGAGCCCAGTAAATATTTCTTTGTGACCATGGTGACAGGCAAGTGGCATCCGAGTCCATGGCTGGAGTCTGGCCTCATCTGCAGCGGAGGCCTCTTCCCCGGGCCACGCAGCCCCTTGGCTCCTTCCTCCCCTCTCCCTGCGGGAGCTCAGCCCTGCACAGCGGCTGCTCCTACGGACAGAATCCTAAACCCGACTCCTCTGATACGATGCCCCTTCTCCGCTGCCTCTGCCTTACAGCTCTAGGCAAGTCACTAACAGGATTTATTTCTATGCCTGCGCAGTTTTAGAGGCTCCAAAACTCTGGGTACACACCCCAGCTTGGCTGCTGCCAGTTCCTGGTCATGTCACTGTTCCTTGCTGAGCCTCAGTCCCTTCATCTGGAAAATGGGTATTGATAAGGCAGTGCCACTGCAAGGGTCACCCACAAGCAGAGCTCGTGGTGCTCACCTGGCCTCAAAGGTCTCCTTTGGTGACTGGTGGGGGGTTGGGTGGTTCCTGCCCACAGGAGAGGGGAATGGGCTCCGTGCAGGGACGGGGATGTTCCTGACATATGGTTAAGCCAGCATCACCTTAGAGCCTGGGTTTGGCTGCAGAACAAGCTACAGAAGCACAGGAAGGGTGCAGAGCTCAGTTTATTGAGCACCTACTATGTGCAAAGTGGCCTGCTCCCCTCATTTCAACCAGACTCTATTTTATGAAGAGTCTCAGACCCCGAAGGGCTGAAACATTTGCCTGAGGCAGCATCCTCCTGACACCCAGCTCCCCTCTTCAGCCTTGGACACACGTAGTCAACACCCCTCGTCTGCTGCATCTTCCCCTGGACGCCAGAGCTGCCTGAGGCACACCTTGTGTGAGCCCTGCCAAGGCTCTGGCCTGCAGACAGGAAACCCAGGTCCTCCCCTATTCCTGCCACCTGCAGGCAGGGTCTCAATGACTGTGCACAAGGCACGGAACTGCACGCCCAGCGGTCACACGGGGCTTTGCCGCTTACGGAGCATTTATGTATTCTCTCTAACCACAGCCAGGGGAGCGGTGCTGACTCGTCCCCTTACAGATAAAGAAAAAGAGGCAAAGAGTGGGGAGTCAACCCAGATGAGACTCGCCCTGCCATCTCCCCACTCCACAGTCAGAAGTGAGGGGAAAGTGGCTGAATCCAAAGGTGGCTGCCTTCTGCCCAAGCACCAAGAGGCACGAAGTGGAGCATCGGTCAGAGGAGGTACGGAGCTGCCCAAGGTCACACAGCTAGCTCAGGATTTGAACCCAGGGCTTTCAGGGCCCCTGAATTCCTGCCACTGCTCCTTGCTGCCTCTGTTCTAGAAGGGTCTCAAATCACCATGTGACTTGGGGGGGGGGGTGTCTCGCCTCCACCAAGCTCCTCCCAGCCCTGGATGTTGGGGAAATTCAATCACAGCCTGTCTCCTCATTGCCTAAATGAGGCTCCACGTCGGGATGGAGGGCACAAACCAGAGCCCCCTCGCTCTGACCAGCTGACCCAATGCCAGGATACCCCAGATTGTTTCAAGAGAAATGTCCCCATCTGGTTCTGATTCATTCGCACTTAATGAATCAAAATGTTGTTTTGTAAGAGACACTTGAGATCCAAGAACCTTTCTCAAGCCTTTTCTTCCATTCTTTCCTGTCTTAGAAACAGAGAAATTGGATTTCATCAAAACCAGTGACGCTGGAGCCTGAGGAAGCCGGGTCTGCGGCACAGGGTCCCAAGGGTGAAGCTCAGAGCACAGGCTACTGGGTGGAGAGTGTCACTCCCCTTGACGCTGCATTACAAGCCGAGGGCTAGGGCAAGGCTGAGAACAGGCCGAGAAGCTGGCAGGGAGGGAGGCTGAGGAGGGGCAGGACAGGGACGTCCCTCCAGGGACCCCAGGTCTGCACACCGTGGCACCTCCAGGGCTCCCAGCACAGAGCTGTAACACTTCCTCAGTGAACAGGAGAAGGATGGGTGAAGCAGTTTTGATAGCCATAATGCCTCCTCCGGCCAAAGTTAGACCAGAATGTCAAAGCAGGTGAGAGCCTCAGGGATCTCAGGTGGGCTTTTCCAAGCCCTTGTCTGTGGTCTCTGATGTGGAGTCTGGACAGGTGCTACTCTCTGTTCCCACCAGTCAAGAAATCGGCCTCACCCACACCTGCTTAGCCAGGACTCCTGTGACCATGCAGAATGTGCTACAGGAAGGGTTTCTGTCTCCCAGCCCTAGTGCAGGGCCAATGGATGGGAAGCCACTTGCCCAAGGTCACAAGCTACAAAGGGGCTGGGTAGAGCTGAAATCCCTTGTGTCTGATTGACAGATGCAGCTAAGGCATCTAGAGATGCTGGACGGGACATGCGTGAATCCCAGATGCAAGCGATTAATCACCATGGGAGGGGTGCTGAGACCCCCTTACCAAACTGGGGCAGTATCTGGACAGCGATGCCCAATCTCCTCACTGGAGCAACAGGCAGGTGGAGGTGAGCTGGGGATGGGTTTTTTTTTTTTTTTTTTTCCTTATTCTCTCTCACAAGCATCTTAAAAGATCTTCTAAACCAGCTCCTCATAGTTGGGGAAACTGAGGTTCTGAGAAGAACACAGCTCAGGAGACCATTCAGTATCCTGTTTGGTGGACTGGGGTTCAAGGGTGCTGGTTACGGGCCCACTGCTCACCTTGCCCAAACCAGCGTCATGTTCGGAAACTCCTCACCCCCAAAATACGCACCTCCCCCTTCCTCGCTGTGGTGTGAGGCCAAGGACACCAGTGGACAGGAAGTGAGAATGACTAATACTTGCAAGTGCCTGCAAGGAGCCTGCGTGCTCTGCTACTCATTTAATACAGAGACCAACTCCTCTGTCTCACCCGCATCTGCCCTGTGAGTTGGTTTCTTATGATCATGATTCCTGTTTAAAGAGGAATCAATGGGGATAAGGTTTTTATTTTTATTTTGAGGTCTCTTTAGAACTGAGAAAGACCTTGGAAATCTTCTGAAAGACTCAAATGAGTAGCCAAATCTCAGAGAGGCAAAGTGATTTACCCACAGTCATGCAGCTGGTAAACAGGGAAGCCGGGATTGGAACCAGGCAGGGTAAGAGACCATGTACCTCACTACTCTGCCAAGAGGTCCCCAGTTCACCTGAAACCCACTCATCTCAGTCTGGAGGTGACCGTCCAGTCACACTCGGGGCTGTGGCCCTTCGGTCCAATCTCCCTGCCCCACGCCAGCCCACCGGCTGACGCGCCCCATCCTCACTCGGCTTCCATTTCCACTCCGAGTGTCTCTAAGGGGCTTTCACCCGAGTAAACTGGCAGCTCCCAGAGGGCAGATTCTTGCTCTTGTTTCATGAAGCCCTTCTCGGGCACCACGGCTGGGAAGAAAGAAAGCTCTGTGTCTTCCATTCACCTGCCAACCAACTTAGCAGCGCCCTTCTGCCTGTGTGAGCCTTGCCACCTGGTTTCCTAAAACAGCACTGATGTGGACACAGTGCGTGGATCCCCGGGCTGGCACCTGGAGGCTGGAGGGCTGGCCAGCTCAGGCAGGAGGCTTGTTAGCCATCGCATGCTCCCCGGACCCCGGCTCTGCCTGCGCCCACTGTGCACGACAGCCTCAAACCCACTCTGTGAGGACATTCTGATTCTCACACGGGGCTGTGACAAAGACCTAAGGTGAGGGTGCACGGAGCCACTGTCCTGGTGCCCGGGGTCCCTTTTTCCTCTAGACCTTGGTCATCTCCTAGTGGCCCTAAGAGATCAAGATGGGAAAACAGGTTCTTGGGGAGACTGGACTTTTGCAGGTCGTTCCCAGAATTAATGGACTTGTGCTCAGGCCCATGGTTTCCCTGAGCTTACAGCACTTGGGGGTGGGGTGGGGTGGGGGAGGGGCCCAGAGGGATGTCCACTTCTGCCTTTCTAGGTGAAGCACTGAGTGAGCCTTGGTGCTGGGGGGAGGGGACTTCTGCACTCCCAGCCCTAGGTGTGTGCTGCCTACCGGCTCTGTGTAAATGCCTGTTACTTGTCCAAGCTACCCTGTGTCCCCAGGGCCCCTGCCCTTCACCCTGGCACCTGAGGCTCATTTCCTCTGCACTGAGTCAGCCCGCAGGGCTGCCAGAACAGCTAGGGGGTGGTGAGGGAACCCTACTAGTTCTTCCCCTCCTTCAAGTACTTCTTTGACTCTGCTTGTTCAGTGGGTGCGGGTGCCCTGAGGGCTGAGGCGCCCCATCTGGAAATTGGGACTGACAACTATCTGGAGGAGTCTGCCCAAGAGCTACCCGCCACCCCCACCAGCACCGCCCCTGCCTCGCAGCACCTCAGGCGCCGCCAGCCCCCGGCTACGGTACCTTGCTTCTTCCTGCGATTCAGAGGCAGCATGTCGACGGCGTGGGCGACCAGCAGCAACAGGCAGAGTGGCGCCCGCATCTGGGCAGCCTGATCCGTGCGGGCACGCAGGGCTCCTGGCATCCACAAGGCGTCGGGGGAGCTCCCCTGGAGGCTCGACGGCCTCGCGGCGGCGGCGGCGTGGCGCGGCGTGCCGCTCCGGATGCGCGTGCTGCTCCAGTCCCGCCCGGCGCATCCGCCAAGCGCGGGGTGGGTGCCGCGGTCAGCCAGCTACCGGCCTCCAGGTCTAGCGAGGGCGCTTGTTAAGCCTGGACACAGTCCTGCTGGGAGGAGCCACGACTGGGCGGTGCCGCCTGCGGTAAGGGTGGGGGTTGGGGGGTCGCTGGACCAGTGGCCAGAGGCCAGGAGGTGGGTCTGCCCCCGCCCCCCCGGCCCCTCCCCTTGGTCAGGCAGGTACCCGCGCTCACACACGCATGCACACACTCACACACTTACACACGCAGGCACGTGGACAGCAAGAGAACCCCACCCTTCTGCTCTCAACACCTCCCCAGCCAACTTCCAATTTTCATTCTGTTCCCTTTCTGTTTCCTCTCATTTCCCAGTCCTGGCCCTGAGCACCGCTCCTTTGCTTTTTCTTTTTGTCTCTACTCTTCCCCCCAAGTCCTGCCCGGAGGCCCCTTCCATTGACCCCCAGCTAGTCTTTTATTTCCCCCTGCCATCCTCTCTCCTAGTTGAGGCTCACTCCCTCTGCCTCCACCGGGGTGTTCCCTCTCTTCCCTCTTCCCTTTCTCTCCTCTCAACCTGCAGGGTGGGGTGTTTGCGGGGCTCCCCTTTCCTGGCACTCTCTCTCTCTCTCTGAGCTGTTTCTTTTTTTTTTTTTTCAAAAGAGTCTAGAATTCCTGCTGGCCAGGGACCCTGAATACTTCAGCCTGGAGGTGGGGGAGACCCTAATCTCTCCTCAAAGTGACCAACACCTCATAAATTTCCTTGTGAAGGGGCTGGAACCTGGGCTGTTTTCTCCAAGCTTATCTGCAGGTCTAGGAGTTCCATTTTAACCCTTTCGGAGCCAGATCCCTCCTCCTAGCCAACAGACAGCACATTCCTGCACCCTGTGACCCGCCACTACCAGCAACAGCAACAACAATACACTAACCCCAGCTCTAAGGCAAAAGGCTGGGGCTGTGCTAGGTGCTTGGCACAATCTTGGAGACAATCCAGTGAGCTTAATTCCGTTGAGCTTCACTTTCCAAGAGGAAAGGATGCGCAGGGCGTGTGCATGGCCTGACCCACTGCACATCAGGGAGCTGTCTCCCTTCCCAGTGCCCACCCTCCTGGCTGCTCCCCCGGGCACAGGGGTATGTACCCTCCACACTCTCGTACTGAACATTTGTCTTTTCTTTTTCCTATGTGTCTAAAAAGAGAAGGAAGGTAAATGTTGATGTTTCCTTGTCCAGCCCCTTCTCTCCATTCTTAACAGGTCAGGGCTTGTCACAGGAGGGGGGCAGAGAGAGAGTGAGACAAGTCTCTCCTGGCCATTCCTTTGGGAATTATAGGAATATCGCAGACAGCACCCAGGGGGTCTGGGTGGAATGTGGGTGCCACCCCACTGAGATGGCTCCATTTCCCAGGTGGGGCCTCCCAGGCCTCAGCCCTGGGGCGACTTGCTCAGGTCGCCCAGTGACCCAGGGGTAGAGCTGCAAAGGTGTCCCGATGTGCTCCCCACCGTGGCCTACAAGGCCCCTTGGGACTTCTCTGATCTTGCTCACTACACCCCTCTCCCCTTTGGTCCCAGAAATCTCAAATCCTTGCAGATTTCATAAACACCTCTAGGCCTCTCCTCCCTCTGAGCCTCTCACTGTGGCCTCTCTATAGAATGTCACCCTATGTCCCTTCCCCTACTCTGCTAACTCCATCAGGACCCCAGCCTGGCTATGACCCTCACCCAGGAAGCCCTCCATGCCCGGGCCATGCTCGGAGCCCTCCTCCGAGCCCCGCCATCTTTTATTACAGTTCTCATGATACCCGTATAACTACGGAGGTGTTCCGTCCTTCCCTCTAAATTGTCAGCTCTTTCAGGCCAGACAGGAGGTCATATTCCAATAGGATAATCCCCAGGGAAGGGAAATTTTGGTTGGTTTTTTTTTTTTTTTTTTTTGTCACACCTTAAGGAAGGGAGGGGCTGGGTGGGGAGGAGGAGCTAGAGACAGCAAGAAGGAAGGAAGGAAACCAGGAAGTCTAGGGCAGGCATGTGGAGCAGAGAGACTTGCGAAGAAGCTGTAACTGCTTCTTTCCTTGGATTTGAACCAAGAATTTGGGGGACAGGGAAGGAGTCACTTGAAAGAGACACAGATGCAGATGAGAGACCGTGCAGACAGTGGAGGCTTTTATCTTGATTTTGACTTTGCTCTGTTCCTTTGAGACTTGCCTGGTCCTTTTCTGCCCCATTCTTCTGGGTCCCCTCTGGAAGGCGCCTTAGACTTGTGGCAGCTTTGGGGTCTTAGTGGTCCTGCTTGGAGTTGACCCTGTTTGGCTGGGCATCTACCCAGGAGGGGATGAGTAATTTGGGGGGTGCTTAATTGGAAAAAAAATTTAACTATATTCTTTCTCTTTATTGTATGCTAGTTGTACTAAAGTTCTATCGAAGGTCTTAGGTATTAGAGTCTAATGTGGTGGGTGGCAGGCAGAACCCATTTAGAGTGGCAAGTTTAAGTGCTCCTGGGGTACCCCTTCTTCTGCCCACTGACAATATCTGGATCTTTGGAATCTAGCACATGCCAGACAAAAAGTAGGTGATCCACATGTTTCTAGAATGAATGAATGAGTAAATGAATGAATGAATTCTTCAGATACTTCAAGAAATTAGACAACCTCAGAAGATCAAGCTTTAGGGGCTGGAAAATCAGCATCTACCCAGCCACGCCCAGTCTGGTAGTCCCCAAAGTCCAGAGCAGGATAGTGCCCAGGTGGGCAGGACTAGGGAGGAGCAGTGTCCACCTGGAGACATACAGAGGCCAGGGCTGTGGGGCCGCCCCCTGGGCTGCAGGTGGCAGCCTCTTGGCCTTCCCACCACACTGTCTCTGCTCTAGCAGGCTGCTGCTGTTTCTCAAATTTGTCTGTTTTGTGTCCTCAGCAGGGCTTTTTACTGCTCTGTCTGTCTGGAAATTCTTTCTCAGATGTCCTGAGGGCCTGTCTCCACTCAAGGTTATCCTTCAGAGAGGCCCTCTCTGACTCCTGCAGATAAAATAGAACACTCATTTGTATCTCCTTGTCCTGCCTTATTCTTTATAGTACCTGTTCGTATTGGCAACTTGCTTATTTGTGAGCTCCGTGAGGGCAGAAATCTAACTTATCCCTTGCCTGAACATAAACTGCTTATTAAATACTTATAGGGTGACAAATGTATGAATGAGCACTCACCCCTTGATTCACTGCGGGGCCTCATGTACTGCCTGCTATCCTGACCCCAGCTTCCCGTTGGCTCCGGGGCGCAGCTGGGACTGTGCACCCTCTCAGAACTCTGCCAGTGTTTTCAGAACCCCATATATCCGGGGCTCCAAGGGCCAGGACTTATGTTCCCAGCCCACCCTGAGGTGCTCAGGTCTAGGTCTGTGTATAGGGCACTATGCTGGGCATGCCCTCGCCCCCTTCTCCAACACCTATGCCCAGGCAGGACCTGCAAGCCAGTGGTGTTAATGGCATCTCCAGGAGATGTACACACCAGGGGGCTCAATTAAGGAACCGCTGGACACTCGTGAATAGATGAGGACCAGTGCAATGATGGCAACATATAATACTCCCAGCACCTGTTCTGGATTAGCAAATCCTCTGCGGAAGATGGCTGGGACCCAGTTTCCTTCTACCTGTGCTGTGCTCACTTAGGTGCCTGGCTTAAAGCTCATACCCAGACAGGGAAGTACTACCTTTGGTGAGGGTAGACAGCATTCTCCCACTCCATTGGCCAAAGCTCAATCGTATGGCCACACCCTCCTGCAAGGGTGACTGGGAAATGTGGTCTAGACATGAGCTTAGGGCAAAGCAAGCCTTTGGGGACCATCAGGCCGTCTGTCCTCTTGGACCACTCCCAGCCCCATCCCCAGCGGGGATCCACAGCAGCGGTGCAGTGGCTCTTGTCTACGTTGATGTCTGTGTTGTTGACTCTGGCTCCTACCAGCTTTTCTCCCTAAGATCGGAAGGATTTCAGTTTTCATCTGAGTGAAGCCAGAATTCCTCCCCAGAGCTGCAAGGGCTGCAGGATGGCTCCGAATAGAGTAACCAACTGTCTCAGACTGTCAGGGATTGAATTTCCTGGGATATAATCTTATCTCGGGCACAGATTCCTGTAGCTACTACTATATCTAAGCTGGACCATCACAAGACACCCCCATGCTAACTCTTTATGACTCTCCCCACTCCCTCCCCTTCACCCTAGCCCTACAAACACTCATCTGTTCTCCATCTCTATAATTATGCTGTTACATAAATATTATATAATGAAACCATGCAGCAGGCATCTTTTTGAGATTGGCTTTCTTGGCTTAATTTCCTGGAGATTCATCTAAATTGTTGCCTAGATTAATAACTGCTTTTTCTATTGAATAGTATTCCATGGTATGGATATACTAACTTTGTTTAGTCATTTTCCTTTGAAAGACATTTGGATAATTTCCAGTGTGGGGGGTATTAAGAATAAAGCTACTATAGACATTTGTGTACGGATTTCAGGATGTCTTCTTTGGTGAAATGTCTATGAGAGTCTTGTGCACATTTTTTTAAATTGTGTTTTTGTTTTATTTTTGTACTTTAAGAGTTCTTTATTCTGGACAGAGGTCCTTTGCTGGATATGTAATTTGCTGATATTTTCTCCTTGTCTGTGGTTTCCCTTTTTCGTTATGTCTTTCACAGATCTTTTGCTAGGTCTTTCATGAAGAAAAGGTTTTAACTTTTGATGAGTTCCACTTTATTAATTTTTAATTTTATGCATCATGCTTGTTGTGTCCGATCAAGCAACATTTTACCTAGTACATGACCCATTTTTAATTATTTTTTCTACAAGGTACAAGGTTCAACTGAAGCGTCGT